AAATAAAATAATATTTTTTATAAAATAGTTAAAAAATTAATTTAGGGGGAGAGGGGTAAAATGGAGAGTTTATGTGCGGCATAATAAATTTTTAAACAAATATTGGTCAAGTAAAAAGTTGGTTCGGTTTTTATCTAAGAGATGGCGTTATTGTCCATAATACAAGGTGTTACTCTTCGCATCATGTCATACTATACGGCGCTGAAAACGTGTTTATTCCCGCTAAAAGTTTGTCTTTGACAGTTTTTCGATTGATGGACTCAGTAAGATGTGAGCGCTCGTCAAAGACGGACACCAGCGAAGAGAAAATTCGCTAAATTTTACAATTTTTCTTCGATAAAGTCGAAAAAGCAGCCAAAATCGACCCGTTTCTGAAGCAGATTGTGACTGGCGATGAAAAATGAGTCACTTACAACAACATCGTGTGCAAACGGATGTGGTTAAAGCTCGGGGAAGCGGCCCAGACGATGGCCAAGACCGAATTGACAGCCTGGAAGGTTTTGCAGTGTGTTTGGTGGGATTGGCAAGGAATTATCTACTACGAGCTGCACCCCTATGGCAATACGCTCAATTCAGTCCTCTACTACCAACAACTGGACCGCTGAAAGGCAGCACTTATCCGGAAGAGGCCATCTTTGATCAACAGAGGCCGAACTGTGTTCCATCAGGACAACGCCAGGCCACACACGCATTTGGTGACGCGTCAGAAGCTCTAGGAGCTCGTATGAGAGGACCTAATGAATCCATCTAATAGTCTGGACCTAGCACCAAGTGATTACCATCTTTTCCTGTCCATGCCGAATGCGCTTAATGGTGAAAAGTTGGTCTCAAGAGAGGCCTGTGAAAATTGGCTCTGCGAGTTTTTTGTCAATAGGGATGCAGCCTTCTACGAGAGGGGTATAATGAAGTTGGCATTTCGTTGACAACAAGTTAGAAACAAAGCGTCGTATATTTGACTTGAATCGCACAAATGTACGCAAAGTTATCATATTTTGAAAAATCTATTGTATAAAAAACCGAACGAACTTTTTACTTGATCATATATAAATTTTCACAGCTTTGGTAATTGCTTTAAAGTTTTTCGAAGTGATTTTGCCGTCTTAAATTTTTTTCTGCCGTATACACCAAATTTCGAGCTATGCAAAGGATTATGACGCATTGTATCATTAATTACTATGTAATAGCGCACAAAAATATGTGTTTTCAAACTTTTAAGAGTTCATTATTTTCACATTTGTTTAGATTTTGTTGTCCTTAAATAATTAGACCTTTTGGCTTTCGCCGATTACTTTCGTAGTTTTTGTCCCTCGTTAAATAAGTTTTCAAGAAAGGAATGGAAAGATTGTGTATTTCCCCAAAAGTTTTAGTTTGGTACGAAATTTAAAAAATTCAAATAATGAAATATTGCAAGCAAAAAGGATTGCAAAACTTTCAAATCGAAACCCAACTCTTCTCAAATGTATCTGACTTTTTTATGATTTATAATTTTGTTTATAATAATTGTGAAAAATTGCCACGATCTGATCGCCAATCTTCAGCTACAACCGAATTTCACATCGCTGGAGTGAAGACCTGAACCAACACCGAGAAGCGAACGGTTTCTACTCAACCTCAATGTGTGCTCACTGAGAGCAATCATCAGCAACTCGGTATAAGCGAACGATGGGACGACATTTCAAAGTGTTTACGAACCTGCAAACAAAAATATAGCTGGCAGAGAACTTAGAATTATTATTATTCTAAGGTCACTGAGCTGGTATGATATGGATTGTCGTGCCGCGGTTGAGAGAAAACAGGTTGCATTCCGCGCAACGTTACCTGCGACCATTATACAAGCAGAGTGGAATAGATATCGAGAATTAAAGAGGGAAGCAAGACGCATGTGCAAATGAAAAAAGAAAGAGGCCGAGCGGCGTGAATGTAAAGAGCTTGAAGAGCTGCTTCACAATTTTAACTGCTAAAAAATTCTTCGAAAAAATGTGGCGATTTTCAATTAGTTTTAAAAGACCGAAGAAAACTCATGTATGATCTAGAAAGGTTACCTAGCGACTGATGCTCAGGGCATAATGTACTTGAAGACAGAACGATTTTTCAGCCAACTAAATGGCAGTGAAAATGAAGAATACGGAGATGATGAACCCGATTTTTCAATCAATGACGATGGATCAGATGTTTCATTGCCCAATTATAAATAAGCTCAAATAGATTTTCCTCATTTAAAAAGCAGCGAAGCAGATTACGGGATGTGACAAAAAATTGATTAAAATTGATATTAAGGGATCATATCACCAGGTGTGATTGTACGAGCTTTTAGCTAAGAATGAAAAAATAATACCTTCGAACAAGCAAGTCATCCGATTTCTGATTTCCCGACAGACGAGAGGAGAACTAAAGTTGATACTAGAAAATGGTGATGAAAAAATGGTTTGAATGGTTGGAAGATTAAATCCAGCAGAGTCTGATTTGAGGGGGATACAAAATAATATATTATATTTTAATGATTCACCAATTCACGGTATATTTTGCAGGTTTTTAAATGTCAGGAACTGCACCAACTCATTTCTAACACCTTGAGCAAAATAGTAATGTTTTTGAATAAATCAAAACAAATGGTAACTCGACGGTGCTAAATCATGGCTAAATCATGGGAAAAATGTAGATAGCAGTTACCTGTTATTTTTTGAAAAATTCTATACATTTCTAATCGGCTTCCTCGTTCATTTTCGAGAATTTATTATCGTATCCAAATATTTCAATTACTGGAAGCAGCTACGCAATCCCACCAGACCATACATTTTTCATCACCCTCTTTAATTTTTTTTACAAAAAAATAGTTGATTCAGCGGAGATTCCGGTTTGAGAATGCCTTTGGTCAGGTCGTGAGCGTCATGATGATTTTGCCTAAGAAAACTTCTTTAGTAGCCGTTAGTAGCTGTTGTGATGCCAAAAACTATAGGAAAATATTTTTCTTCATATTTTGCTGTACATTACTGAAAGGGCACACCTAGTGTGAAATTTCAAAAAAATCGATCTTTTTCATATTACGGTAGATTACGTTTTTAAAAATAACATATTAAAATTTCAAATCAATGTCTCAAATAGTTTTTGAGTTATAGCAATTTAAAGAGCAGCCGCTCGGCAGCTAGAGAGTCTCATTAGCTACGAGTGAAAACGATCATTTTATCTTTTAACGCTGCAGTGATTACTCAAAAACAAATGATCTGATCGCTTTTGAATTTTTTCACATGCTCTATATATAGTTCTCGGTACAATGACCTATCGATTTTTGATCTGATCAAAAAATCGATTTTTGGCAGGCCAAAAACGACCAAAAATTTGGGTAAAATTCGACTACTTTTTTAAAACCCCACCATATTGTAAATTTTTGATTTTTTTATAGTAGGGCATAGCACAGACAATATCACCTAGCTGAGATTTTTTTTTAGATTTCATCCACGGAGAAGGCCGGAATCACTGCAGCAGTGAAGGATCTTTTTTTCGCGCCGTTGAAAACCGGCTATAACTTTAAAAATATTTAATTTTTTTCTTCAAAAATTTCACTGTATATTCTTGAAACATGTATAAATATAATCTTAAAATTTTGAAATAATTGATAAAGTATTTTGTTTTTTTTTTAACAAAAATTCCCAAAAATCACCTTTTTTTAGGCCATTTCACTAGGTATGTCCCTTAATTTTTTTTTTTTTACAATTTAAGTTAATGAAGTACTAGGTAAAGATCTTCAATAAATAATAATAGCGAATGTGCCAGTGTTCCTAATGGCCAAGCTTGCTAGCAGAGGAACTCAAAATTTCGGGCTTCACGGTCACATGGGCATATTTGCTTTAATGAAAAAGCTGCCCAGCTTGACGCTGAACACCTGGAGCGACCAATAATGAGACAGATATAAATATCTATCCAGCAGAAAGATAACGAATTATCAATTAAAAGACGTTGTCGCAGCTGAAAACTAAAAGCTGTGCATTTTTTCTCCATTTCACTCATTTAGGCATTTTAAAAATTTTTTTTCCAGGGACATGCAGGAGATCATAAAAATTGTCTGGCTAAATTTTTTAAAATCCATTGAGGGATGGCTATAATTTCTGAAAAAATACTAGTGGTTAATCTACAAAAAATTTCATTAAGATTCGTTCAAATTGCTTTATTAACTCGAGGTTATTGCCAATTTTGGAATTTTTCATATTCTAAAAATTCATCATACACATTTTTTCTTTTGACTCCAATTTGACAGGAGTTTTTGAAGGTTCAATTCTGTTTTCAAAGTTCAGTGCCATCTGATGGTCTATGGTAAAATTTATTGAAAAGCTTGAGGCCATGACTCAAAGTTTCCTAATAAAATTGCTTGTTTTTTTATATATCTAGCAAATTTCGGGTCTTAATGCATTATTAGAAGATCCGGACACAGGTTGCTTCCTGTGTTTTGTCCAAATTTTAATCCATTTGATATTGCAAGGGATTTTTGGAGGCCTCAATTGGTAATCTAACAAGCAAAAAGGCATATATATACCAAATTTCAATCAAAATGAATAATAAATTACTCACAAATCTTCTCGGGAATCATAGAAATAAACTGACAAATTTTTAATTTTTCGGACATGCCATCAAGCAGACAGACAGACGAAAGTTTTTATATCACATTTTCTTTCAATTTTTAGTGATTTAAATTCACTTAGGGTGAGTTAAAAATAATTTAAAAATTTCATGGATTTATTCATGCGAATCAGAGCTTTACATATGTACATATATAAAATATTGAAGGCAATAATACTAAAATATTATTTTTCAATCATTTCGCCACGCATAGGTATACACACAAAGTATGCTATAAATAAGTTTAAAACACGTACGACGTGTCGTATACGCAACACTCCAGCGCAATAAGCCCCACAATAAAAATAACAATAATAATAAAATGAGCAAACTATATTATTTTTGCTTTCACCCCCACCCCGGCATGGATATTTTCTTTTAATACTTACATTATACGTGTAGCATCGCGTTGTCGCACATTCTCATCCCGATTCAAAACTTCGATTATCATTTTACGTTCCGCCTCCGATAAATTCTCGAGTACTTGTGATGTGGCCACGGCCAACTCGGGCCCAAGTGCATCGATAGTTTCACTGGGTATGCCCTCGGTGGCAGCATCGATAGTTGAAATACTGCCGCCACCACCAACACTAGCAACACCACCCAATGTGGTGCCACCAATAACACCACCACTATGCGTATTCATGCCAACACAAAAATTCGTATAACCACCAACACCACCACCACTCATCATCATTGGCATGCCACCAACACTACCAATATTGCCTCCACTAACACCAACCATACTAATACCGTTATTGCTATTGTTGCTATTGTTCTTGATGTGGCTGTAAGCGCTGTGGGGCAACACATTGTTGCTATTCGGTTCGGGCAGTGTATTGTGTATGGCTCGTGGCTTATTCGCTGTGGCTGTGGTGGAATTGACAGCGGCGGCGGCTGCGGCTGCGGTGGCGACGGCGGGTGTGGGTGGCAAGCGTGCACTGCGACCGCTTGACATAATAATGTGCGGCTGCTCTTATGAAAAATTAAATAAAAACGAAAACCCTCAATATCCACGACACGACACGACACGATACAGCTCGATTCGCGGTGCGGGGAGATGCGAGGTTGACGCTACTCTTATATATGCGACACGGTTATTGAGTGTACACACGGTTGTTGTTGTTAGTTTGTATTTTTTTTCTTCCTTTTTTGTGCTACTAAGTTGCTACTTCTCTTTTCTTCTTCTTCTCTACGCCACTACACTTTGTTGCCACTTTATTAATATTATTTTCCTTATGTTACTTTTATATTCACTTATTGCTATTATTATTTTTATTATTTGCTATGTTGCATGCCACTCATTTCTCATCATCATCGCTGCCATCAGCTGCAATGCTACTTTGTCCTCACGTCGGTTATGGTTGTTGCTAGCAATTTTCCACAAGCGCGCTGTTCGTTTGTCGAATTCTTCTTCTTGTTCTACTTATTCTTGAATAGTCGACGTCACTGCACGTTGACGTTATCAATTTTATTAAAGTTTATTGTTGCAAATTAATGCAATTACCGTGGCAATGGGGCGTGCAATTTGAATGTTCGCTGTAAAGATAAAGTGAAAGTGGGAAATATGTTTAAAAATTTTATTCTTAACTGTACATAGCAATTTAGAAAAAATATTTCAGAAATGTACAAAATATATATATATTTTTTAATTTATATTAGAGATGGCAACCCTGCACAATTTAATATTTGTCCAGCTCTCAAATATGTCTTTTTTGGCGGATATTTTTAAATAAATATCAACCGCAGAAGTGGTTATTATTTTTTTAATTTCAAAATAGGTGGCAACCCTGTTAAAACTTAAATTCCATAAATTTTGAAATTAAAAAAAAAAAATTGCTTTGGAGATTCCTTCTTCTCTTCTACAATCTCCCTTAAGAACTATACTCTGTTGAATGAGCTTGAAGTTTCTTTTTCGCAAAATAGTAATTTGGAGCTTTGTAATTGCTGAAGCGATTTTCGGTAGAGCTCCCCCTCCAATATTCATATTTTCCCAACAAATAGAGGCACATAAGTCGCCTCCGAACGGCCGTTGGATTTTTATGAGCAGCTTTTATTTCGTATTCGTGCTTGACGTTTCCTGCCAAGAGCCAACCGTAATCAAAAATATAATTTTAGATAATTTGAAAATTCAAGTGCTGCATGAGTTGAAGCCGGGAGATGTCGAATGTTGAGAACTGCTTCTTGAAAGGCATCAAAGGAAGGGATTTTTGCCCCAAAACGTGACTGGTGTTGAAAGGCGAATAACCTCAAGTAGGAAAAATACAATGCCAAGCCAGATAAAAGAGATCCATCAAAATATATATCCACGCCTAAAGAAAACAGCCACGGTTCCCTGGTAGTCTAGTGTTTTGAGCTGCTTAAACAATACAAAATCATAGATGCGAAAAATGATCAACTACTACACCTAATATTTATAAACCGCGCGTTGCGTATAAAATGACCAGAAACGACCGAAAGGCAGGACAAAGTTATTTGGCAAGAAGCAACGCTCGGTTGCATGTGGCTGTAAAGGTCAAAAACTATTTCGAAAAGCAGATATCATAAGTTTTATTCTCCCGCTGTATTTTTCAGACGCCGCTACATTTCACTATTGACCTTTTCGACGCTTGCAATACGAGTTGAGTAGTCACCGGTTCGGATATGTCGAAGAATTCAATGGATCAATGATTGGATCGAGGACAGAGAGGACTCATTTTCTAAAGATGTTATTCGAGAATTATCAGAGCGATGTCGAAAAAGCAGTCGCTTCCGATGGACAATACCTTGATTGTTATATTTTTTACATTCTTAGAGTTTTTTAAATACAAAAAAAATACCAAAACCATAATTGTCTTTCTTTATACAGAAGATAACAGTGCAGGCTTTTGTATTTTTATTTCTTATCAACGTTATTAAAACTATACAGGATAAGTGGCAAACCTTCATAAATTATGCAGGATACAACAAGATCCCCAAAATTGTCTGATGAGAGTTGAGTGCAAGAGGAGTGACATACTGGCAAAATAAGTTTGCCTGATACCCGACCATACCAGGCCACACACGACCAACGCCACTGAGGAACTGTTCATTTAAATGGAATATCCTCAACTATCCGGTGTGTTACCTTATCTAGCACCATCAGAATAATATCTCTTTACATTCTAAGGGGCAAAAAGGCTTTTAACCGACGAGAAGATAGACTGGCGGCAGAGAAATGGGCGAATGGGTTGGAGGAAAACTACTCCGAAGAAGGCATTAGAAAATTGATACCCCGTCGCACCATCTGCATAGAAAATGTGGTAATTATGTAAAAAATAGCTTACATTATGCACTAAAATATAATAAAGTTTTTTATTTAGATGAACAAATTTAAATTAAATTAAATTTAAAATTAATTTCTTAATAAATGGGGGAACATACAGTTTATTCTAAGCCGCCTCTGAACGACTGATGGTTTTTTTATGAGGAGCTTTTGATTTCATGCCAAAAATACACTCGGAGGGATGGACATTCCCTAATTTCTTATTTAAATCAAAAGTTATAGAAACTTTTGGCTGTTGGTCGTACCAGCCTGATCTTCCGAACGGCAATACGCAATGCTAACCACTCGGCTACGGCGGCCGCGATTCTTACTTACTTTGATACTTAAATAAAATAATGTAGTTATAATTATTATTTAATTTATACATACATATATATTTTACATGTTGATATATCTTACATAACTGTTATTTAATTGCCATCATTTAACGTCAATCGCCTTTGCCGTGGTACTTTCGACATTTTTATTGCTCACCTACTTTTATTGTGAAATTAATTCATTTGTCATTTATATTTGTGTATTCATTTTATTATTATTTAACTACATCCAACCAAAATCACTCTTAATCGAATACACTTGCATAAAAATGTACATACTCGCACTCATATGTCTTTATATACACAGCTTGTGTACACTCGCCGTAATTAAGCACGTACCTGTTGGCCATGGCGTATGAGTAATGTCCATTACAAGTAGCAGAAGGCGCTGAAGTCAGTTTATGCAGCTTTTGTGTGTCCAATGAGTAACAGTTATTTCTGTTTAATTAAACTGCATTTCTTTGGTTTAATAACTATGTCAATTAACATGAAAAAGGTCATTAGGTTAATGATTTATAAAATTCTAACTGAAAAATTTCCTGATAAAAGCAGCGCGTAAAATTATAGTGAATGTAAAATGTGAGTAAAAATTAAATTAATGAATTTATTAAGCAGAAAATAATAACTCATTGATTGATGAATGACATAAACTGCATTTTTATTAATTAATTTTTTTTAATAAATTATTAATTTTCGATATAATGTTTGCAATGAATTTACGGCTGCCTTTTTCCTTTGCCCACTCTGTCGAAAGTTTTGTGGTCTACTAATAGATTTTTTTACGCTTTTATCAAGTGAACTCGGTGGTTCGAATACAAATGACTTACAACACAAGACCTTATAGTCAGTTTTACGTTACTTAGTATGAGCTCAGCAACCGTTAAAGAAGTCACAATATAAAGAGCAACCTTTTTTTGTGACTTTAGCTAATGCCGAACGCCACAGAGAAGTCCTTGCTTTAATAGCATGATTCATGCTTTGAAATGCGGCTTATTTAAGATTACTCCGACGGCGATACCTGAAAGTTTATTCGACCTACAACCAATCGACCACTCAGACCTTCGGGCACAGCTCGATATGCGAACGGATGGGAGACATAATAGGCCACAAACGCATCTATTTTAACTTGAAAAAAAAAAAAGATTTCAAGCTACTTTCAATGAAGGTGGTTGGCTCAGGAGCACACGACACTCCTGTGGTACGTATAACATCTCCAACGTTGGTTCAAAAATGACTGATGGCGTGGGCGCCGAAGTCTGTTGCGTGTAGCTAGATCTTAAACAACACTTCCAGCTTCGAGAGTTCTGCAATATCTTCCAGCTGGAGTTCATCGCTATAGAGGAAAGCTGGTCAGACAGCTAGCGATGTAGAAAACGAAATATCAGTAAGAATGTGGACAGCCAGGATGCAATTAAAACCAAAATCCCATTTCGTCATATAATAAGCTTAGAAGCAGGAAAGCAGTAGACAGGGCAGCCGAGGGTGAATGGCTTCATATATACAAGATTTCTGTCCACAAGGGCATTGTGGGTAACCAAGTATTGCTAAAAATGCCAGCCGTGCTGCCATCGAAGCAGTACAAATTATAAAAAAGTAGCTAAAAGTGATCTTATTTAATGAAATTTCCGAAAGAACTCGCTGTCTACAGATCAGATTGAGATGAATCACATTAACGACATGAAAACCCCCCAGATAATTCGAAAGAGTAGTAAAATAAACACTAATTTCTTGTTTACGCGCTCACGTAAGTTCTAGGAATGAATGTTAGTAGCAGTGACACATGTAGGCAGTGCGGGAAAGAGAGTATTAGTGAGATGTTAGAGCACATCTTCTGTTTCTGTTGCGAAAGTGAAGGCGTAGAGTTTTTTCTTACAAACTCGTCTGCCTTACCTGGGGTAAGCACCCATACCAGGCTCACAGAGAACTGCTAAGTCATGACCTTCAGTGATCTGTGGCAGCTCTCTACGGCTTTTGAATTTTCCGTCACAGTTTTTACAGCTACCAATGCGAACTGGCCAACCCGAAAGATATGAAAACGATTTTTTAAGATCACCTTAGTAATATTAGTGTAAAATAATAAAAAATATTCATACAATATTTTATTAATTTGATTCAAAAATTAGCAAATCAACTTTTGATTGACGATCTTAAATTAACACGCATATATTACTAACAACAAAAACAAAAACGAAAAAAAAAATTGAGCAAATAATTTGACTTGCGTCAAGTGGCTTACTCATACACACGAGTACATACATAATTCAACGCTTCTGAGGCTACAATCACGGTAAATATTTGAGTTGACCAAATGAAGGTTTCAAACGAAATAAATACTTTACCAACACAAGCTCTAAAGTGCCAGAGAGAATTTTATGTTTTTTTTTTTTTGCATTTTCTTCTTTTATTATTATTATTGATTGCTTTCAATGAAGCGTGTGGCATGTGGCATGTGGCGTGTAGCGTGCGGCTTGTAGATAGACGAAAGGTGAGGAAAATATATCAAATTAAC